GGTGAGGAGACGGGAGGCCTACAGGAGAGGTTTAGTTCCAGGAAAGTAGTGTAGGTCTGATGACAGGCATGCGGTGTGCTTACAAGAGTGGCCAAGCCCCGGTGCAGGTCTAAATAAGATGCCTAGAAAAAGATAGGTCTGGAAGAGAAAGGAAGTATTGTCGTGTTGGCGGTATGGGCGAGAGGAGAGATATCAGTGGGGAGGGTGACAAACAAGTAGGGTTGGGGGGAGCTTCAACTCACTCATGGATTTAACTAGAATATCCCCAAGTCTACCCATCCCCTTTTCCTTCCAATCCCTTGAACTTTCAGTTTTATACTATGGTGGACCCACAAGCCCACGATGATCTCTTGAGGGTTCTCTGTTGATCTTGAAATCTACTCTCTAGATTGCAATTCCTAAAAACCTCCAAAGATAAATTTCTGGAAACCCCAAATTTGAATCTCTTAGGATATCTCACCAGAAGACCCCAAACTCTTTCCCCTAGGAATCCTAAATCTGATGTTTTAGGAAGTTCCCCATAATACTGCCTTCTTTGGGGACATATACAAGGGCTGTGCTGTCCATAAGTTAGCCACTGGCCTCATGTGGTTACTGAGAACTTGATATGTGGCTCTTCTAAATAGAGATGTGCTTATAAGTGTAAGATATCAGCTGGATCTCAAAGTCTTCATATAAATAATGGAATGTAAAATATCTCATTAATAAGTTTTGATTATAGGTTGAGATGAAAATCTTTTTTATGTATCAAATTAAGATACATTATTTAAGTTGATTTAACCTGTTTCTATTTCATTTTAAACATGGCTACAGGAAAATTTAAAATGATATAAGTGGCTTGCATTATGTTGAACTTTCAGTTTTATATCACGGTGGGAAATTCAGGAATTCCAGGACAGTGCTGCACTAAGATACCTCCCTACCCCACGCATGTGTCTAAGGATTCCCTGAGGTATTTTGTGGTCGCTGCATTTCTTCCCGCAGGCGTCATGGAGCAGTTTGCTATCTCTGAGGCCACACTCATGGCCTGGTCTTCCATGGATGGTGAGGACATGAGTGTGAACTCCACCCAGGAGCCACTGGGCTGCAACTATGGTGACAACTACCAGGAATTGATGGAGAGTCAGGGTGAGAGATGTTCCAGAATCCAACCTCTGGGGCCTACGAGGCCTCCCCGCCTGTCTAGGCTGCCCCCATTCACCTCCGTTCTTTTAAGACTTCCGTGTTCATCTCGGCTTTCCCATTGTCCTCCCTACTCCCTGCGCCCTCCGTGTCTGACTGTCTGACTCCGGGTTCTCTGTGCCGTCTCCTAGCAGTCTCTTGTGCTGTCTGTGTTGTCGTTCCTGCCGTTGACATTCTGTGGCTCCACCAACCTCCACAATTCTTTTTACAGATGCCCTGGCTCAAGCCCCCATGGATGGATGGCCTCACTCCTATGTGTCCCAGGGCATGTACTGTCTGGGGTCATCAGATGCCTGGGAAGCCAGCGACCAGTCCCTCATTGCCTCTCCCGCCACAGGATCCTATCTTGGGCCCGCATTTGATGACTCACAGCCCAGCTTGCATGAAATGGGACCTTCCCAACCGGCTTTGGGCTACTCTGCTCCGGAGCCTCCACCTTTGCTGGGGGGAGACACTGACTGGGCTCCAGGGGTGGGTGCAGTGGACCTGGCCAGGGGCCCTGCTGAGGAGGAGAAGAGGCCGTTGGCCGCTGAGGAGGAAGAGGATGCGGGATGCCGGGACCTGGAGTCACTCTCCCCACGAGAAGACCCTGAGATGTCTACCGCGCTCAGCCGAAAGGTGTCTGACGTCACATCCTCAGGCGTGCAGTCCTTTGACGAGGAGGAAGGCGAGGCCAACAACTAGCTTCCTCCCCCGCGATGCCCTGCCTTCCACTCCCACCTGAGGGCCATGGCTGCGACCCACACACTCCCTCCCCCCAGCAGTACAGCTGAAACTGGGCAGACCACAGCGGGGAACCCAGGAGCTTCCAGTCCTCTCCCGGAAATGGAGGACCAGGATGGGATTTTATCCAGGCTTACGCTCTAGAAACCTGCACGTCTGGGAACTGAGACCCGGGCGACTAGATGGCCGTGAGCTTGGTGTGGCTGTGGAGAAGGACCTGGGCTGTGGGCTTCTGGGTCTGTGCCGACAAAGCCCCCAGTATGTGCACCCTGAGGTCGGGGGCAGCGCAGCTGTGCTCAAGACTGGACCTCAGTTCTTCACTCCCTGATTTCGTCTTCCAGGAGCCGTGACTGTGCTGTCTGAATGCCTCCTTTCTCCATTTCACTCTTGCTTTTCCCGACTCCGTTTTCTCTGGCTGTGGCCATAGCTCATCCCTACTGAGAGAACAGACCTCAGGGGCTGTTGGACATGGCTGAACAGGCTCAGGGGAGGCTGCCTGAAGGGCACGTCCACTTGGAGGGTGGAGAGGCTGCCTCAGCGGGTCATTGGGCTTCTGAGATCTGGAGTCAAGGAGGAGGTGGATGCGGCAGCTGAGATTTACAGGGGGCACAGACGTGATTCTTTCCTTCGAGGCCTGCCTGGAGACAAGTGAGTCACTGAGGAGACCAAGAACAAACACAGCCACTTGCTCTGGGATCTTGAATATCCCATGGCTGAAAGGAGGATCCCAAGGATCTGGGAAAAGACCCAGCCCGGGCTGGCTGCTCCAGCTCTTGCTTCCCTTTCAGCCTTCTTCCATCCCTGCTCCGGGAGCCCGGCCCTGAGGAGGGTGGGGGGACATCCGTCTTGGATACACCGACGCAGGATGCAGGTGTCCCCAACAGCGGGGAGAGCATGAAGGCTGTCTCCCCTACCCACCCCTATCCTCTGGAGCTGTTTACACTTTTCTCTTTGCCTTTTCTACATTTTTATAACTTCTTGGGCACTCAGGGTTGAGTGGGGTGGAGGGAGGAGTCCGGTGCTGTCACTCTCCTGGCCAGGCGGGGTTGTGGCTGAGGGCGAGGGTGGGCACTCGGCACTTTCTGCCCCTTCTTCAGCTCCTCCCAGGACTCCCAAACAGCCTCACAGCTGTCCTTCCTGCCTCCCCCGGCCTCCTACCGGAGGAAGAGGAAAAAGCTGATTCTTCCTTCCAGGATGGTATATGGTGAGACACAAGCTTCCCTCCCACACTTGGCGTCCATGCTGGTGGGCACTGAGCAGCCTGTGTGCCCCAGGACTTCTGTAAGAGCACAGGCAGAGGACGGGCAGAGCGAAGCAGCAGCGCTGTGGGGCTGGAGAGCACTTGGCCCTGCCACTGCCAGGGTGGCCCCTCCCCAGCCCTTGGCACAGGCAGAGTTTGGGTAGGAGAGAGGCCTAAGAGGTTCACTGCCCTACTTCCTTCTTTCCTCATGCCCTTCTAGGCTCCAGCTCCCGGGCCTTGTGGCCCACCACCTCTGTTGGGGGTCCCACTACTTGCATCCTCTGCTGGAAGGGAGCACTGGTGTCCCCTCCCAGCCCTGGGCACAAACTTCGCCCTCACCCCCAGGCCCCAGAACTTATTATTTTGAAATAAGGAGGTTGAGAGTTGGGGTGTTTCCATCCATCTATGATCCTGTCCTGCCATGAAGTTCATACTCTCTTACACACTCTCCTGGGATGCAAGCAGGGCAGGAGGTCCCAGGTCTTCCCTGGGAAGGGGAGAATTGTTATCCTGAGGTTGGTTTTTGGAGGAAACATGGGCGTAGGCAAGGTGAGCCAAAGCAGATGCAGTCACCTAACTGAATACTGCCTGCACAGGGGAAGAGACCTCTTGTGCTTGCGAATGTATGCTGACTCCGTGTCCCAGGATCTCATTTCTAGGAGCTCCGAGAGGTGGTCTAGCATGCCGGCCCTGGAAGCTGTTCTTTACCAGTCTCCTGCTGCAGGCTCTGGGGTTTTGCATGTTCAACCTTCCTTCCACGGGGTCCCTGGTTCCCCACCTTCTGCAATCCTCGCTATTCCCACATCACCTCTTCCTCTCGTCTCATTCTCCCAGTGCCCATATTATCCCTCCAGACCACAGTGGACATCTCACCCAGTGAATGCGTTCATTCATTACAGTTCCTTCTTGCTCAGGCCCGGGGGAGTTAGGAAAGGTAGACCACAGCAGCTTTCTTTCCTCCTTCCCTTTCCCAAGGAAGCCAAATGGTCCCTGACAAAAGATGACTAAAGGTCTGAAGGATACATGAGCAGGGGCTTGGTGTCCCCAGGGTGCTGGCATATCGCTGCAGACTGGAAGTCAGGTGGGGGTCTGCCTTCTGCAAGGAGCTCCCACCCGCTCTGAAGAGGGAGGAGACTGAGGAGCTGACCTGGGACCATCTTAGGACTCTTCTGGTGCTGGGGGCAGGGTGCATGGGGGTTGCTTATCGCCTATTTCGGGGTGGGGAAGCATGTGCAGGAAGAGGCTGTTGTGGGGTGGGAAAGGGTTGCTTTTCCTTTGGGGTTAGGGCTGTGCAGCACGTTTTACAGCAGTCCCGGAACAGGGCTGTTTTTATATTCTTGTGAATGAAAATGCTCTTGCTAAATGATTTTCTTTTTTTGGGAGGGGGGGTGTACTTTCGTTTACAATTGACTTTATTAAATGAAAATCCATATCTTCCACTCCTCCCCCTCCATTGTCCTCTCCACCCCCACACACCTTCCTTCTTGTCCCTGTGTTGAAGAGGGGATCTTGGGGAATGAGCTCACTATCTTCTCAACCTCACCTTTACATCCCACACACCATCTTCCAGGTCTGGGAAATACCCATTTTTATGGCCAGTCTTAGCATGTTTTCTTAATGTGACATTCCCACCCCAGGCCCAAGAGAGATTCTATGACATATATTACAGAGAGAATTCTATATCAATATATATAAATATTATAGATTATGTACAAAAGGGCATGGGCTCAATGCCCACTGCCAGTTCCTCCCCCCTAGGCTTCAGTGTCTCTCTTGGCCTGGGGAAGTGGGAGGGATGTGATGCTGGAGAAGGCTACAGGCTGTGTTCAATGACACTAAACAGAACATGGTGGCATCCTCTGACTATGAGTGTCTTATTTGGGGGATGGAGGAGACTGGGAAGAGGGGAGGAAAAGGAGGAGAATGTCAGAGAGGGGACATAATGGCAGAATTAAGGCAGACGGGTTGGCAGGGTGGGGGAGAAAAGCCTTGGGTATGGAGCAAGGGTTTGGGGATGCTCACAGCACCTGGCCTCCCTTTCTAGAGAAAGCATGCTGATGGAGCACATAGCCAGGCTTCCTGCTGCTGATCTGGGGAGGGTGAAGATGTAACTGTCCCAAGTGTGGGCAGCACTCCAGAGCCCTGCCATCTTGTCACTCAACTCCTAACTCTCCAACCCTAGGACAGGCATCTGAAGAACTAGTCTAAGAGGGGGCTGGTGTCTGAGTGACCCAGTGACCTAGCTGCTCTGAGCCCTGATTCTTGGCAGGAAAGGCCCTGGCTAGAGCAGCTCCAGGGCAGAGCTGACCTTTGGCAGGAGAGTCAGTAACTACAGTGGAGAGAGGGAGGATGCATTTCCTAGGGAGTAACCTGGACACTGGCAGGCGAGGAAGCTGTGCTGTGGAATAGAAGGGTTTTCTGCCAGAGGGAGTCAGCAGATACCCTGGGGGCGGGACTGTTGGGCAACAGGGCACCTGCTTCTTTTGCACAGAGCCGTCAGCGACCTTTTCTTCCAGCCTGCTGCCCCTGATAGTCTTTTTCTCTGCATCTCACTGCTTGAAGCAGGGGACAACGGAGGGGGAATGTGGGTGGCCTTTCATTGCCCTAGTAACGGCCTGGCCTGGAGACAGGCAATGGGAGCCAGGGAGGGGTCAGAGGCAGATTGCAGGAGCAGCAGCGGATGTGGGCCAGCGCAGGGCTCTAAGAGAGGCGGCTGTGGCTGGCCTGGAGGCACGTTCTGGGGTAGTCAGTGGCTGAGGCCACTGGATGGTCCCATCCCCTCCTCCAGTATGGCACTTGCAGGGCCACAGTCATTCTGGGCCTCCCCTTACCCTACCTCTTGGAGACCCTGAAGCACAGGTAGCAAGGTGCTGGGACAAGAGCACTGGGGAATTGTTGGGGGAGGGGAGGCAGGGTATTCCCTACCTGCACACCAGGAACACTCAGGAAGCCCCATGGAATATCAGGGGCCCTTCGCTAAGGTTGGGGCCACCTGCCAGGCTGGGAATGGGGAGAACAGTCGAAAAAATTGACCAAGGCTCTTCCCTGCCTAAATGCTGATTCCTCCTTTAAGACTAACACTATCACATTAAAAAAATTCCTGGAAGAGGCCACGACATGGGCATGACCTTTCCAAATTCAGGATGTACCCTGTCCCACATAAGTCCACCCTCAGGCTGGGCCTCTCGACAGTCTTTATAAGGGGGTCATGGGAGGGGATCAAAGGATCAGTTCATCCTCATCCTCCTCATCTGTGGATCGCAGGCTGGGGCCTTGTAAGATGTCGGCTAGTTCCTCTTCCAGCCCTGGACTCTCCACCAGCTCCAGCTCCTCCAGCTCACCCTCTGCCTTGCTTGGGGCCAGGGAGAGAGGGGGCTCTGGGGAGGGAGATGGCACAGGGGTCTCTGGGGAAGCAGCAGTCACATCCCCTGCTCCAGTGTCCCCAGGCCCGTTCTCAGTCAGGTTCCAGTTCTCTGCAGAAGGTGAGGGTCCCCCGGGACTCTTTCGAGTTGTAGTTGTGTTCCGGAAGCTGGCAAGGGGAGGGCGGAGCTGTACCCCAGACTTGGTGTGCCCCTCAATGGCCTTCTGTAGCTGAGGAGCAGTGGGAAAGGAAAAGAAGGTAAAAAGTTGGAAAATGAAAAAAGGTGGGCAGTAAGAGACAGAAAAAAACAGATACAATGAAAGGAAAAAAGAACAGAAAAGATAACAGAGTGGCAAAAGGGGGAGACAGAGACAACAAGGAACAATCAGAGAAAGAAGTGAGAAAAAGGACAAGAAAAGGGGCATGACAGATCCACCTGCCAACTCAGACCCTTGGGTGACCTCTTCCTTCCTAGTGACCACCTGCAGCCACATCCCCCCACTGCCCTGTTTCCACAGCTTTCCCCAAAGCTCATCCCTGAGAAACTGTGACTCATGCCTGGAACCCCCATCTCAAACTCGCACTATCTGCGGAAGATCACATGAGCCCCATCTGGGGTGGAGAATTCCATTCCCTTCAGGGCTGTAGCCATAACAGGCTTTGTAGTCTCCTCTACCTCAGCTGGCTGCTCCTTCTACCCCCTGCAATCTCTGCATAAGAAATAGAGAGGGGAATCGGCACAGTGGCTCATGCCTGTAATCCCAGCACTTTGGGAGGCCGAGGCAGGTGGATCACCTGAAGTCAGGAGTTCAAGACCAGCCTGCCCAGCATGGCGATATCCCATCTCTACTAAAAATAGAAAAAATTAGCCGTGCGTGGTAGCACATGCCTGTAATCCCAACTACTCGGGAGGCTGAGGCAGGAGAATCGCTTGAACCTGGGAGGCAGAGATTGCAGTGAGCTGAGATCACACAACTGCACTCCAGCCTGTGTGACAAGAGTGGAAAAAAAAAAAAAAGAAAGAAAGAAAAAAAAGAAATAGGGGAATCTGAGCGGACTTTTGAGATGCTAATATCCCTTTATCCCTTCTGCATCCCCTTATCCTGTGCCCAGCCTCCCCCCTGCTGCTCAAATGGGACACATCGTGATTACCTCCTCCAGGGCCAGGACGCCCCTTAGCTTCCCCATGCTGGTCACGTAAGCGAGGTGGAGGCCGAGGAGTGAGAACAGGGTATGAGTCTGAGTGCGAAGAGCACAGGTCAGTGCATGTTCCTTGCCCCACAGCTCCCTGCCCTCCCTGCAGCCCTGAGCAGTCAGCAAAGGACTTGCCTTGTGCAGGGTTGTCTGCTCCACCAGCTGGAAGGGAGACTGGTCAATACAGCAGGAATCAAAGCAGACAGGCTGGCTCAGCTGCTCCTGCTCCCAGGCCTCAATCTGTCAGCCAGAGGAGGAAGGTCACCAAAATCACAGTGCCTCCTGTCACACCAGATAGCTGATTCTGACCCCAAATGGCCCTCCTAGCCCCTGCCCAGAATCTGAAAACATGCAAGGACTGATCACAGATCCCCCAGATCAGAGGCCTTCCTCCTTCTTCCCAGGTGACAGAGCCTCTCCGTCCTTCCTCATCAGGCCCCCAGCCCACCCTAAACCCCCAGGTACCCAGAATATCCCCCCCGTCTTCTAGGCCCCAACTCTCCCATCCCCTGGTGTCCCAAACATTTGTGATTTCCAACCTCTTTCCCATCTATTTTCCACTACTCCTAGAAGATGTGGAGCTTCAATCAAACCAGACTGCTTTCTGCTCTTCAAATATGCCTTCCCCCCCTTTGTCTTTATGTTCTGACCATCTGGAGTTCCTTTACCTGCCCTACCCTGTCCCCTGACTCTCCCATTCAGATGTGTTTCTCCCTTTTAAAATTCCCATAGTACTTGCTGGTCTCTCCTTCTCAGAAATGACATTGGCCTTGCTCCCTGCTGTGCTGGCATTTGTCTTACTAATAGGTGGGAACTTCTTGAGTGTTATGTGGTATCCACTGCTGTACATTGTCAAGAAACTAGCACATCACCTCTCATGCAGGGAATCATGGGAGTACTTGTTGAAATTGAAGAGCTATGCTGGACCTCTTGGCACTTAGTTGACTTGAGCAAAGCCAGTTTTTGTTTTTGCCTATGACAAAAGGCACAAAGGCCAGCCATCCTCTTCACTTTAGATACGCACACCAAAATTCCCAATAGTCCCAATAATCCATTACATCTCTGGCTCTCACACGTGTTTCTAAAATTTTCTAAAATCTCTTCAGTCAGTACCATCTGAATGACCTAGAACTCTATTTTCCTATTTGTCCAAATCTACACCTCTCAAACTTCAGGGAATGTCACCAAACGCCATTATATAGATTTAGGATCTAGCGTGTGGTCCATAGCGATGCTCACTCCACCTGTCCTGTCCTGGTATTTCTGGATTACAATCATGCCTCCTCTCTACTTTCATATTCCTCAGTAACGGATTACACAGGGTTACATAGCATAGGATGGACGACCACTTAGCAGGTGTGTTGTAGAGAAGATTTAGGTACAGTATGGGGGCCAGACCTTGCCAACCATAGTTTGGTCCATCCTGCCCTCTTGGTCCTTTCTACGGTCATCTGTGGCCTTATGTTCCGTTTTTGCCTTTCCTTAACAATGAGGCAATATTTTCAGTGAACGATTATCAAGTATATCCTCTTTGCCAAGCATTTTTCTAATTGCCTTAAATGTTTTAGCTTAATCTTCTCCAATAACGCTATCATTATCTTCATTTTGTAGATGAGAAAACAGAGGTACAGAGTGTTTAAGTCATTTGCCCAGGATTGTACAGACAGTTGTTTGTGTCCCTGGAATACAAACAGTAGTCAAGATTAGAAGCCTAGCTCCACCAGTTTTTTGCCTAAAGGATACAGGACATTGCTGTTGAGGCTGATGTGTTCCAATACTTGAATAAGCTCAGTCCCAGTTAGAAACAGAGCTCTGTGTGTACTCCAGAGTATGCAGAATTAAAGAAATCCTAGCGGGAACTTCTGGCAACATATAATTTAATCTTTCAATATTCCCATACTGTACCCATACTGTTTTTAGGTCAATATCAACATCTTGATATTGTCAAGGGTGTCATCCGGTCTGAAAATTGTGTTCAAAATATCCTGCATTTTGACTACTATTGTATCTTATCCCTCTAAAATGTCTCAATGAATCACATGGGAGTTGGTAGCTCCTTAAAGTCTTCCTTGAAAAAGACATAAGCTAGAAATGATGGTCTACCTTCTTTTTATTCCTCACTGCACTTTATTTCCAGTGGTCATTAAATAACCACACTGATCTACTAGCTGGTTTTCTCTCTGGTTCATTGAAAAAAAAGCAGGAAAACTTATTATTATTGATTTTAGCAATCTAACAAAATACTCCTTAATTGCAATTTTGGCCTTTCTGATTCCTGCTTGTGGGCAGAAGGAATAGTATTTCTTTTTCCTCTGTGATCAGCTATTTGACTTTTCCACAAGTCATTTATCAGAAGCGTGTGTGTTTTGAAAGGTGGGGAAGGTTTCCTTTCTCTCTTGTCACTCACAACACCCTCCTCCAACCCGGTAATGCTTTTCATTGTCAGCACATATTTATTCTGGATATCTAATAAGATGTTTATTTAAAAATAATATCTGCTGGTTTTTTTTTTTTTTTTTTGTCAGCTAGTTGAGTTTTTTTTTTTTTTTTGTCAGCTTCATACTTTACAAGCTTTATGTTTCCAGCCTTTGCAGCAAACTGTGCATTCTTTTACCATATGGAATAGTTGCCAATGGATTTTCTTTGTTGTTCCTCCATAACCCCTCGGCATGTTCTGATCTGGACTGTTCAGCTGCCTGCTTTCAATCACTATTCCACATTCTGTTCCCTCCTTACAACAAAGCGCATTCAGAATGCTGGATTTTTCTCTCTTGGAGATTTGATAACTACCTCTTTTAGGAAAATAGGCATTTGTTTGCCCCCATGGTCATTATTTTCTTCCTTTTTCAGTTCTTCCCAGTAGCAATGCCTAGCATTTTCCAGTTGTTCACTGTCTCACGGCCCTGATCAATCCAGCACAGTAACCTCCACCAGGAGCAGATTTCCCCATTTTGGTTTTATTTTTTTTTGAGGCAGAATCTGGCTCTGTCACCCACGCTGGAGTGCAGTGATATGATCTTGGCTCACTGCAACCTCTGCTTCCTGGATTCAAGCAATTTTCATGCCTCAGCCTCCCAAGTAGCTGAGATTACAGGCACCCGCCACCATGCCCAGCTAATTTTTTGTATTTTTAGTAGAAATGGGGTTGGCAACGATGGTCTTCAACTCCTGATTTCAGGTGATCTGCCTGCCTCAGCCTCCCAAAGTGCTGGGATTACAGGCGTGAGCCACTGAACCCAGCTTCCCATTTTAGTTTTGATGTTTTTCTTCCATCTTGCTGTTTTAGTGCCAGCCTCCTGGTGCCATTATACCTCCATTAAAGCTTTGCCTGATCCAGAAAGTCCATAATCTCTAAAACGTCTGGGGCTCATCTTAGCATCATGGCCCCATTTGCTCATGGAGGCTCAATGCTTTCCTCTTCTGAAATGACTGTATCCCTCTGAGAACACCTCCATTCCCGTCACACACTCATTACCGTCTCCATAATCATCCTTATTTTTATCCTCTCAAAATACTTCCCATTCTATTTCATGACAACACAATAAAGAAGGTAGAAACAAAATCACAATATCTTCATTTGGCAGAACAATCCACCCCAGGTTTCAGTTTCCCTTACTCACCTCTTCAGGTGACATGTAATCGACTAAATCTGTGGAATCCTAGAGAAGAAAGACATAGGTCCAAGTTATTTCCCTTTTCTTCTCACGGTAGCTATGGGTCCCAATGAAACAATAGCTATCGCTCCCTGGCCAGGACCAATGATGCCTCCCTTCTATCAACCCTTCCATATGAGCAAATTTCTCCTCTTTGGTGGGGTCTCTGCCTTCCTAAGAACCATGGGTTTCTCACTCTTCAAGGGCAGCCTCCCTTTCTCCTGTATCATCAAACACATCTCCTCTCACCTGGGTTGCTTTCTTCTTTGTGGGGTGAGCTCTGCCCAGGAAGCAGCGAAGCAGGGACTGAAAGATGGAGGGTCTTTGACCTGAGAGGAGTGGTGAGTGGATGGAAATGGGCACAAAGCAACAGGAAATGGCCAGCTCCCCCCCCCCACCACAAGGTGCCTGACATTTTCCCTCCAAAGAGGTGCACTTCCCAGGTACTTTACCCTCTCTTCTACCCTCCTAAATCACCCTCTGCTCCCACTCCCTGGGACAGTAACCAGGAAAATTGATGAATCAGAACCCCTCCCTCCCTCAATCCCCCAGCATCACCCCCCACCTCCCATAGGAGTTGCATGCAGGTCAAGATCAGGTCCAAGTGACCAGAAAGAACCCACAGGCTGAGTTGGAGTGCATGAGGGAAGAGTGTCACCTGCAGGCTCTGGTGCTTCCGGCTGCTGTTTGTGGCCAGGCAGAGGCCCATTGGGCTCTTCTGGGGACAGGGGGACAGTAGGAGAGGAGTGGGGAGCAGAGGAAGGAGGCAGCTGTAACGAAGAGTAAGGAGTCTCAGCCTGTTGGGAACAGAGACTGCCTGGGGCTTCACTGTCTTCACCAGTCGGTGGATGTTCTGGGAAAGCAAACTCTATCCTTCCCCCCAGTTAATAAATTCCTATATCCCTTTGAATTGTGGAGGATACCATCATCTGTAACCTTATCTTCTTTAGTCCCTGGATCCAGGGACACTGGTCTCTTTGGAACCTGATCCGGAATTTCTGGCTTTCTCAGTTAACAGCCTCTCCCCTCCCTCTTTCCACTACTTTCAGTGAAACTATGCCTGTCCCAGCCCAGCCCAGCTGACACCTTTCCCTTTGCTCCTCATCTGTCCTGCTCCCTGGCCCTTCCCGGCACGGTCACCTCGCTCTTCCCAGAGAAGTCTTCGTCTTCATCCTCATCCACAAAGGCGAACGACTCGGGCCGGCCTGGAGGCGCGCCGGGGAGCCCTTCCCCAGTCAGCCGCGCCTTCCCGTCGTAAGGCAGCTCGGACAACTTCCGCGCCATCTCCTGGGCCGCGCGCAGCCTGCGCTCAGGACACAGGTGGCGCTGCAGGAGGGCCTGCAGTTCCGACCGCTCCACCGAGCCCAGCAGGATCATGGAATCTGGGGGAAGTCCACGCCCTGCCTGAGTGCCCCCTCCAAGCCCTCCTGCACCACCGCGCTCCGCACCCCAAGAACAAGAGAAGCGCCCCCTACCACTCCCCCACATCTTTCTCAGCTTCCTGCAAACTCAGTAAGAATCCTCCAAGACTAACCTCGCTCAATCCCTTTTATTTCATCCATGTAGCAGGTACAGGGCCAATTGGTAGAGCACTAATTGGGCTAATTTGCGCTTATTTTGGTGAGGTCTCATATAGACTTCGGATAGGTGAGCTGATAATTAAGTAGGCTAATCAATGCTGTCCAAATAAAAAGAAACAGGAGAAGCCATTCAAATAAGCTGAGATGTGAAGACGCTTTGTTAGAAGTCTGTAAGCAATACAAACATTATATCTCTACCTGGAAGAAGGGAAACAAGGCAACTCTCCCTTTTGTATCTGACATTTTATCACTTAAAAAACCTGAGCCAGGTGCAGTGACGCACGCCTGTAATCCCAGCATTTTGGGAGGCCTAGGCGGGTGGATCACCTGAGGTCAGGAGTTCGAGACCAGCCTTGGGCTGGTGAAACCCCACATGGTGAAACCCCATCTCTACTAAAAATACAAAATTAGCTGGGGGTGGTGGCAGGTGCCTGTAATCCCAACTACTCAAGAGGCTGAGGCAAGAGAATCGCTTGAATCCAGGGGGCAGTGCAGTGAGCTGAGATTGTACCATTGCACTCCAGCCTGGGCAACAAGAGCAAAACTCTGTCTCAAAA